TTTTTTTTTTTTTTTAATATGTATTTTCTTTTCGCTGTGATAGCACAGGGGAGGGCTTCTTTTTTTTTTTTTGCCTAATTTTTTTCTCTCTCTTTTTCAAGTCGGTGTTTAGAGGCGCTGGGGGTTTTATTCCCGTGTGGTTTATTTACTTTCAGTGTGTTTTGTGCTAATGGTTTAACTGGATTTTGGGAATGAAAAGGAGCATCTGTTTGCGATCGCTTAAGCCCAAGATGGTCGTAGTGGCCGCAGTTTCGGATTTCACTTTCTTCTTATTAGTTTAAGGAGCAGTTGCAATTGCGTGTTGTGTGTGTTCTGTGCATAAAGTATATAAATAAAACCATAAACTATATAAATAAACTGCACGTCTAGATGCTGATATAGTTTTATAAACACGCACACGCAGAAAGAGTGAGACACATATCTAGTCCGTACACACAAAGACCTGTGCCCGGAATTTGAGAGCAGAGCCTCTGTCGATACCCTAGGAGAGAGGATGGCAGCGGGGAAGTTCGCTCTCCCTGCAAAGTGACAGGGAAACTACTTGCTTCCCGTCTGTTCATAATACAGTGCATAAATTGTCGTGCAGCCTTTATTCGAGGTGGTATAAAAGATCTGAGGGTCTCTCTTGTTTTTCCTGTTGAGAAGCAGTAGGCGAGTGGCTGGAAGTTGCAGCGAGGTTGTGAACTGTGCGGGATATTGGGCGATGTTGAGCCTACGACTCCCCGATCTGCGGGGTTCAGAGCCGTGCTGAAAGTTAGCGAGTTTCTTAGCGATATCTTTAACTTTTCTTGCATTATGCAGACTTAAATAAGCGCAATTTAAACGTTAAAGAGCGAATTAAAATGCTAATTACATCGCATTTGAACAATTCGAAACGGTGCATATCTTCTGATTTGCAAATTGGATTTGCAATGCATTAGCGCAGTGAATTGCTAAGTGGCGGCTTTGTTGTATTTTCTATAGCAAAAAAGGAAACATCTTTTGAACCTTTGAGAGAAATGTTGATATCAAGACACTACCTGTAGGGCCTTTAAAATGTCTACGCGGTTCAAAAATTATATTGGGAAATATTCAATTACAAGGAGCTGAAATTAGTCAGAAAGATTAAAACATCGCCGATTTTAAGCGCGTGTGCCCGTGTCTGTGTGCTGGGCGGAGGAAGGAGGGGGGGGAATTGTAACTTAATGGCCTTTGGGTGCTGCTACTCCCCCTCATAGAATATGGATACAAGACACCATCCCGGGGAAATACAAATATAACTGCCGATCTCGCCTTGACAACTCACTAATGGCTATCAGCAATAACAAATTGCCAACCCCACCGTTTTGTTCTGTCCAGGGCTCTCCTTACGACGCCCATACAACGGGGATGACCGGAGCCATCAGCTACCACCCGTACGGCAGCCCTGCCTACCCCTACCAGCTCAACGACCCCGCGTACAGGAAAAACGCCACCCGCGACGCCACGGCCACGCTGAAGGCCTGGCTGCAGGAGCACCGCAAGAACCCCTACCCCACCAAGGGCGAGAAGATCATGCTGGCCATCATCACCAAGATGACCCTCACCCAGGTCTCCACCTGGTTCGCCAACGCCCGCCGGCGGCTCAAGAAGGAGGAGGAACAAGAGTGAGGACGAGGACGAAGACGAAGGCGACGGCGCGAGGAGTAAGGAGGAGAGTCCCGAGAAGATGCCCGAGAGCAACGAAACCTCCGCGGAGGACGAAGGTAGGAGCGGGGTGACCGCAGCCCCGGAGGGGTGGCTCCATCCCGCCCCTTCCAGTCCCCCTGGAGCGGGGCAGCTGGGTATGAGCGGGGGCGCCGCGTTTAACAAAGGCGACCCCCAAACCTGTCCCGTCCCGTCGCCTCCGGCCGCTCCGGTGGCCTGTC